TGTAGAACGTTAAGTTAATTCACTTGTTATTATTTTTGGCTAAATATGCTTTTAAATAAAGCATATTCTTAAATTTTAACGAGGCAGTTTAAATAATTTTGCAAATGGTACTGTACACTTTTGTCTAGTTCTCGCTCGATGATCGGTGGAGAAATGAGCTTCGCAGACAAATATGATTGAATTTGGAATTATGCTACGGCGCATCCTAGTAAAGGGAAGGGGCATATCTCAAACTTCTTAAAACGAACTGTATATACATCTCCAAGCCTAACCTAACCAAACAATAACGTCACCAATGCATATATATCAGGCGATCATACTAGAACCGAGTAACACAGATAACTGTGATTCTCAGTTAACTAACGTATTTTATCCTTTTTATTCACAGAAAGCATCAGTTTTATACATTTCCTACTACAATAACGGAGTTTCATACAATTCCTAGGAAATACATACATTTCCCAGGATGTGTGAATTAAAAAATCTTTGAAATAATATTTTATACATTTCCTAAATAACCTCGGAATTGTATACATTTCCTAAGAATTATATACAATTCCTAAATTTCATACATTTCCAGAAACATGTATGTAAATATATACTTATTCATATATAATATAAATTTGTAGTTTTTCTCTCTATTAAACTAAATAACTAACAAAAATAAAAAGTTGTTTATTTTCTAACGCCTGATTAGTATAACGTGTTTGTTATTTCTCTTCGGTGTCATTATAAGCGGATTCTACTGTACTTTTCTTTTGAAAAATCAACCACAACGATAATTAGTGGCTGGAGTTTTTAAATGAATCTAATGTCACCATAAAATCAACCTTTAAGGTGTGAAATGGGGTTGCTATGTTTGCATCAAAAATAGTGTAATTACGAGTAGCTTATGTAGTATATCTTGTGGGACACCTTGTATACAATGGTGTTTCGTTTCCGTTGTTTTACCTGATTTTGGTACCGTTTTTTTTTTTCGTTTCCTATTCAGTCCAGATTTTATCCTTGGTAAAATGAAACCTTGCTGTCATTGTTAAAACGAACGAATGAATGTAAGAGACAATAAAGTAATAGTTACGTTCTAGGTAAAATAGAAGGTGCACGGAAAAGTAGAGACAACGGCGTACCAGAAACATTTTAAAGTAGGCCTTGCGCCGGCCGCTCAAAGCCGCCGTGATCTACAACCCGTCGACTGATTAAGAAATGCAGAGACGAAGAGAGGTAATAACAGCGGTAGTAACAATCTACTATCACTTGACCCACTAAACTGAACGAAACTACAACAATGGGCCATCGGGTGTACCTACACATACCGCATGTGTAGTAAAAAAAAACAAAAAATTACGTATGTTCGGCACTGCACTCACAAGACCAGGGGTGGTCAACACAAATGATCTTGCAAACCCCTGTACTAGATGTGTAGATAGACGCCTTAAGTTACGTTTATATCGACAAATAGTTTACACGTTAACAATTTAATTAAAAATGATCTGTGTGATGTTGTAAGCAAAAGAAACTGTCACTGCTGTTGATACCAAAAATATTAATGAGTCATTTTTGAAGTGAAACTTTTTATCGACGATAGGAATGAAATTTACTAAGGTATAAAATCGAAAAGTGTAACGTCACGCGTTACAGCGTCACGCGCCAGGTGTGACCTCTAGTGGATACGTCCAAAAAGAGTCATTTTAACAGGCTTCAGAAGCTAGCCTGTTGGTAGCAATCGATAATCCGAAAATTGTCGGCAGATCGCGCCTACTATTGCATATGCGTTTGTGTTTGTTTTTATTTCTAATTCCTCTCTGCGGCTTTTATAGTGAAAGCGTAAAGGTTTTTAACAAAACTAAACCAAAATTCCGCATACATCCGCTTAAAATAAAGTTGTATTTTTCTTGTGATCCTTTTTGGGGTTCCGTATCTTT